ACACACACACACACACACACACACACACACACACACACACACACACACACACACACACACCAGAGTCAATATTTTCAACATGCAAACACTTCAGACAGCTAAACCGCTAACATAATTACTGCTGTTTTAAAGAAACATTGATGTAATTTCAGGAAAAGCCAAATGATTTGGAACCAAAACAGGAAAAGACAAAACCAAGCCTTAGAAAAACAAAATGTAAATCATTTCAAGAGCAACAGCGCCACGACTACTGGAATGCAAGAGTTAGACACCAGCTCCCAGCTAGCTAGCTGTAGTGTCCCAACAACAGGACAAACACAACTAAGTGCAGCAGCAAAATGTGTCATTATGGCTTTGTATGAGTTCCACCCTTCAGCTTACAGRAACTGGTTGTTACAAACAAAAACTACAATAAAACCTTGCAATTACTGTATATCACCATGTCATCATTAAATTTAGTTCAGGCACACATGAGCTCATTACCAACCCCATCTGCACAGACAGACAGACAGACAGACAGACAGACAGACAAACACTTTGAGGAAACACTGAGGAAAACACTTTAAACATAACTTATTACAGTGTCTTAGCCATGTGATAGTCTGACAAACATACACAAAATATTAAACCTCCCAAAAAACCTGGAACATTGTGTAAAATATAAATGTAAATAAACAATATCGAATGGAATAACCTACAACTYGTAAACAAATCACAACGGAACATTGTAAACACATTAAATGTTTCAACTAAGAAACTGCACCAAATTTAGGAAAAAATAAAGTAACGGCAGCAACAGATCACCAGTCTGTTTAAAGATGGGTCTAAAAACAATGGGACATTTTTTAAATAATGCTCCTCAATGCAAATTTGTAAATAATTCGAATACCACATCATGTACAGTGGATCATCATAAAAAAATCCCAAGAATTTGGTGACATCAAGGAACAAGGCCACCAGTGAAACAGCATGCCTAAAGGATGTGCCAGTGTAAACGTGGTCATTTCAAATGTGTTGGTGCCGTCAAATTCAAAAATACATTATTTTTGTCCCCAAAATGGTGCAACTTTAGTTCAAAAGTTATCTATTTTTTACTGTAACATCATGAGATTCATATTGTCAAATCAATGCATTTTGTTTTGTTTACATTTCACACAACGTTGCAGCTGTTTTGGAATTTGACCTTAATCACTTTTTTTTTCCACATTTTGGTTTAGAAATTTTGGTTTAGAATTTGAGATTACAAAATGCGGGGCGCACCTCCTCTAGGGGGCRTCAGAATTCTKTCAGAGGGGCATGGGGTGAATCARGAAGTGAGGAAAAAAGWATTCTCTCAGGTMTTTTTTGCTAGCTGTACCATATTATTATTAAAACGTAACAACCTGCAGACTTTAGTGTGAATCATTCACAGTTCAGAGGCGACCCGTTGTGGGGAGAAGTAGTAAGGATGTTGCATGCAGCAGGCTTTGTTTGCAAAAGTAACCACACATGCTACATGTGTAGCACGTGTGATTCTGTAGTTCTTCAAATTTATCATCTTTTTTTTTCCAACAGGAAAAGATTACTAAAAAATCAAGCCTGACTCAGCATAATTGCT